AATTTTTTAGTTTTATAATTTTTTAATTTTTAATTTTTTAAATTTTTAATTTTTATAATTTTAAACTTTTAACTTTTTAAATTTTTTATTTAATTTTTTACTTCTTGAATTTTTTAATTTTGAATTTTTATATTTTTATATTTTTTATATTTTTTTGTTTTTAAACTTTTTAATTTTTTAATTTTTAATTTTTTTATATTATAACGTTTTGTCCATTCACGTAGGAGATGGATAATTTGTGATTATCAAGACGTTTCTTCCGAAATACCCTGATTTGGGGGGTCTGAATGGAAGGAAGTGGAAGATTTTGGAAGCGTTCAACTTTCCTCCAATTTCCCCCTAATTTCTTCAACCAAATACACACAAATAACTCACCTCCCCCCTCCACTCCAAAACCCTCCAACCAAACAGGGCCTTTGGGACCCATTCCTATAATTGGAAATATGTGATGGCAAATTGAAAGAAATGTGTCCATCTATGATCACAATCACTCCTTTTTTTGTTGTTCTTTCCCTCTCCTCATCCTCCATTGGAAAGTGAATAAATGCAATCAAAGAAAGATGATATGCAATAAGTAATGTCACAATGTTTTTCTTGCACGATACATCACGTCCTGCAAAATTATTCTCATTTATTTTTTGGAATGTCTCAAAAAATACTTTTCATTTTGCTTTTTGAAAAGTTTTATGTGACTACTAACTAACATTTATTTACCTTTTTTTTGCTCAACAACAATCAAACATTTTCACTTTTTTCTAATTGTGATAAACTACGATTGAAATCCAATCGGGATAATTTTATACTCCCTCCGGTCCCAAATGAAATTCATACTTTCCTTTTTGGGTAGGTCCCAAATAAACTTCACACTTCTTCTCCCTTCCTTATTTGGCAAATTATCTACATCAAAACAGTGCAAAACAATGTCAAACAGTGTCAAACAGTGTCACAACAATGTAATCTACAGTAAAATCAAATTTATTTCATTAATTTGTAAATTTCATTTGGGATCGAAGAGAGTAGAAAAGAGAGAATAGTATATTAATGGGAAGTGGAGATAATTATGGACACCATTTTTATGTGCAAGAAAAAAATGAGGATTGATTATGTCAAGAAATACAAATCAGAAATGTCAAGGATAGTGACGTTGGAGAAAGGACGGTGATGTGGTCGAAAGCGCAATAATACCTGCATGAAGCGTAATGACACCGGAAAATGTGATACCAACATTTAGCCCCTGTTTGGTTGGTTCAAAGGAGGGAAAAGAATGGGAGAGTAAAGGAGGGAAGGGGAACTAAGGAGAGGAAAGATTTTAACAAGCATTTGTATTTTGTTGGAGAAAAAGGGAAGAAGTTTTAATAATATAAATTTCCTAATTTACCCTTGTTTGATAAGTAGCTATTCATTGGCAATCCTTTGACTAAAAATGAAGTACTTTTTTCACCATTATAGAAAATCTAGTATTACTTTACTATATACGTATATGTCAGATCTAATTGACACAAACCAATTGTTGAATAATTTCAAACATTCGATTATATATGTAGAAGAAGCAATATTATTTAAATTATGAAATAATTTCAATTCCAATCATATAATTAGTCGTTATATAAGAGATTGATTACTTTAAAAATATAAATTTTAATAGTATTGTATTTTAATACTAAATGGCCTTTACATAAATATTAAAAACAACTAAATAGTTTTAAACATGAGTTATAAAAATTGAAAAACTGTCTACGACAACAAAAACAATTCAATTTTTTTTATTATAAACAATTCAAAATCTTCATAAACTATAAAAAATGGTCCATTAAAAAAGTACTCCCTCCGTCCCATATTTAACTCTGGTTTTGACCGGGCACGGGTTTTAAGATAGTGAGATTTGTGTGGTGGAGAGTTATGCAGAGGAGAGAGAAATGTGTAAGAATGGTTGTGAACCACATACTTTTTACCAAAAAGGGAAAAAGGAGATAAATTTGGGACGGACCGAAAATGAAAGAATGAAGATAATTCCGGGACGGAGGGAGTACAAGCTAAGTCTCTAAAAAGCTTAATTTTTTCAAATATGATTTATTTTTGAGAAATAACTAATATTTCAAAATCAAAAGAAAAAAATGAACTACAAATATTTTAAACAAGCTCTTACCTATAAAATTAAGATTTCAAAATTAAAACTATTCACACAATAAATAAACTACATAGTGCAACCCAAATATAACCGTAATGTCATTTTAAGGTTCAAACGAGATGTATAAAACATACTAGTCAAAATATACTTCCATAGCATATCAAACATCATATGTCTAGTTCAATAGCATAAATCATAAATAGTCTTCACATCACAAATGTGAATTATAGACCATTAGATAGTAGGCAGTGAAGTAGACAACTTCAGTGAACTAAGATTGCTCCATAGAACCAAACGTCCCTCGAATAAAATCCTTGTGATACTCCATTGGACAAACCAAGCACCGCATTAAGCAGATCCACATTCATCACAAGTTTGGTGTAATACATGTGGATTAGTGGCGGTTGAAATCCCAATTCCATCAACAATTCGTAAGTCTGGCCTGGAGATATTGGAGCTTTCTTGCTTAGAAGCTCACCGGAAGTTTTGATCGCATCAGCCACCTTCTCAATTGCTTCCTTAATTCCTTCACAAAGAATGTCTCTCTTTTGCAATTGGTTTCTTGGATTTTTTGGTGGATTTACTATTTGAATTAGACGTTATCTCAACATCATCATCAACACGCACATGTGAATCAGTGGTAGAGTCATTGTAGTCATTTGCACCAATTGAACTAGGACGCTTTCGAAGCTCCGAAGCAGTTGTTGATTGATCTCCAGTAGCTCTATCTTTTCCATAGAGAATCACCATTTTACCATAGTAAGGTACAGGAGCTTGCATGAACATCTTAGCTTGAGGCTTTACCTACGCCAACCCAAATTGAATAAACCAAATTTAACACATTCATATGCAATCAGTACAGAGAAAACAAACTTCATCTAAACAAGCAACTAAATAAAAATAAAATAAAATAACTTCTCTTTTGAATAAGTAATAATTAAATAAATTAAAACAAGGAGATCCAAATTAGCTATCATTTGAAAATTTTATTTGAGGGTATACTGTAACAATACCTTGATAAGGTCATCCCAAATTTCTGGTTCAGCTGTCCAAGCTTGTGTTATTGGGTCGGATAGGGTATATTCTAGAGAGAAGTGAGAGCTAGAGAGAGAAGTGCAAATAAATGCTTCAATAAATGATTTTCCAACCCCTACAACTACCTCCAGAGGAAGTATTTATAGGGAAAATACGGGCTGGGCTCCCAAGCCTTGAGCTTGGGAGGCCCATTTATAACTGGACCGCTATTGGGCCGAATACAATGTGTGTAGAAATGATTAAGTGTAAAATCTAGTTCTGTGAGGCTTCCGTGACCGACGAGGGCACGGCTGACGGGGGCACCCAAGTTCCCTGGCTTCAGGATCATATTCTGAGTTGGTCCCTCTTCGGCCGAAGGGGGTCCTTTGGCCGACGAGGGCACCACTTGATGGATTGTACTTTCTGTTCTTCTGAGTATGTGGGACCTGGGGCCTAGACCCATATACTCCATCAGGGTCTATAGTGAAACAATTATCAAGATAAATCTTTGGCTCTGAAAATTAAATTTACTTATATGGTAGAATAGCTAAAAAGGAAACCTAATTTACCCGTAGGAATTTTCAAATTGTCCTCTCTCGCCAATGCATTTTTTATAATTCTAGAGTCTGAGGCAGTCCCTTCCCATCCAGCAAGAACATATGTAAACTTCAAATCAAATGTGCATGCAGCTAAGACATTTTGGGTTGGATGATCTTTTCTACCACGATATTTCGGGGCCTCTTTCGGGGACACTTACACGAATATGTGTCCCGTCAATTGCACCAACACAATCCTTGAAGTAAGGGAAAAATCTTTCATTGTCTTGAACCTCAGTTGAAATTGTTGTGCCATTGGGTTAGATAAGAAATTGATCCCCTAGTTTAATTATAGCTCTTATCACGTTATGTAAGTGACGGCTAATAGTTTCTCCTGAACGTCGAAACCAGAAGTTCACCCCACGGCTCTTGGCACCAATATGTGTTAGTACATATATATAATGTTTTTGCAAGTTGTTCTTCAACACTTGCCCATCGTGTAGGTTTTAAGCCACATTGCCCATCGGTAATCATGTTTTTCAGTCCATTTGGTAATCATTCTTGTCGATCAATTTTTTCATAAAAAATATAACTTTTGATTTTACGTGCTGAATTGTACTCTATAATAATAATAAAAAGTAAAGTTGAACTTACTTTTCTTGCTGTATTGACTATAGTTAAAAGTAACATTTTAGCTATTTTTCATATAAGTTTTTTTATTTTATTAAAAAATAAATTCTAAATATAATTTTTACATAAATCAGAAAATTCAGTCAATTTAGTGCTAGAACTTTATAAGTTTTAGCGGAATCAACCGATTCAACCATTTTTGGTATTACCAAATAATGGGATCTTAATTATATACTACCTCCGTTCCTTAAAATTTTGCCAACTTTCCTTTTTTGGATGTCCCACTAACTTTGTCATTTTCTTATTTAAGTAAAGAATTTGTGATTCCAGTTAATTCTCTCTCCTCTGCACAAACCTTAACCACACAACTTTTACTTTATTAATCCCCGTGTCAGTCAAATTTGACAAAATTTTAAGGGACGGAGGGAGTACTTCATCCGTCCCTTATAATTTTGCCAACTTTTCTTTTTAGATGTTCCATTAACTTTGTCACTTTCTGTTTTAAGTAAAAAATTTGTGATTTCAATCAATTCTATCTCCTCTACAAAAACCACAACTCCACAATATATACTTTATTAATCCCGTGCCGGTCAAACTTAGCAAAGTTATTAGGGACGGAGGGAGTAAAAACTAGTCATTTTTAGTTTTATAGCATTTAAAATGTCAAAAAATATTTTAATCTCATTATTTGTATTGAGTGACATTCACAATCACAATAAACAAATGTGAGATTGTTTTTGTTGAAGAAATTTTTTATTGAAGGGAATAATAAAACGCGTAATGCAACTATGCAACAACGTAACACTTCTATTAATCCACGTACTTACTGACTTACAAAATGAATAAAGAATATAATTCCAGTCTTGTAAAATTAAACACTTTTCACAGGCAGTAACTAAATTAAACACGTAGGAATTTCATCACATATATACTGATATACAGCTGATCATCAACACAACTTCATTAGACTCACACATCCTCAGGACCTCCGGCGCTTGCATTCCGGAGGAAGACCCTGCGGGAACCTCTTCACATCAGCACAGTAATCGTAAATCATGAACTTCTGCTGCACCCATCGGAGCCTGTTTCTTCCCTTCCCATCAAGATCCTGACTCTGCCATTCCTGCCCGCCGCTTGATGCCGACTCTGTCGAACCGCACCTCGACGACTGACCCCACCACACACAGGCGTTGGCGTTGAAGTCCCGGTATGAAGCCGAAAATGGAGCCTTTGACCAATCCGTCTTGACCCGCCCGCCCTGCGTTGCCCATTCGTCTGCATTCCAGAGGCTGGCCACAACCTTCATCGGCCTGTTCTTCGGGAACGGCACGCCGATCGCTTCGTTGTTCGTGAACACTCTTATCGGAATGTTATCTATTAAGAATCTGTAGTTATACGAAAAATAATTAAAATACTAGCGTATGAACTACTACCTCCATCCCACTAGAACAGAAGCCGTGACAGTTATTGTGAAAAGTTCATTTTATTCGGTTGATAATGAATTGAAAAATATTAGTCGTATCAAATACTGCACATGATTTTGAAACAAGATTACTAATGCTTATTCTTACATTATGCGTTGAGGATTCCAAACTATGGAGTAAGCGTGGAAGGAAGCAGTGGGGTCGAACCAGGGCTGGAATTGTTGCTCTTTGTCGCCCTTTCCTTGGGAGTAAACATTGGTGTGGATTGTGTAAGGCTGCCCGGAGGAATTCCCCAAGAACTCGAAATCTATCTCGTCATGGACGCTTCCTGTAGTTCGAGGCGACGATAGCTGCATGTGATCAAGAATTCCGTTCATCAGAAATTGGAAAAGTTGATTAAAAGAAATTAGCATCGTAAAATCAAAGAATTTCCGGGCATGGGTGAGCTGAGAGGGGACGTACATAGAAGGTGGTGACAGTTCCGGCAGAGTTTCCGGGGACAAGCTTCAGCCGGACGTCGAATCTCCCGAACAAAAAGTCGTTCTTGGAGTGGAAGCCGGAGCCAGAGGCCTTGTCCAAAGTCAAGTTGAGCAGACGGCCACCTTCCAGCATCTTCACGCGTTGGTCGCCGTACGTGGGCTGCACATCCTGGAAGAAGTTGCCGGCAGAAGCTAGGAGGAAGCTAGAAGCTAGCAGAACTGAGAGGTGCCAAAATTTTGCAGAAGAAGAGTTCATGGTTAAATCAGAAAGGAAAATATGCATATTTTGGAATGAGATAGATGATTGATGGGTTAGAGTTATATATAGATGGGGTAGCCTGTAGGGTAAGTGCCCGTAGCTGAAAGTGGGTGTTGAGAAGAAGAAAGAATCCAAAAAATCGAGGTGGTGCTTAGCTGGTGGATTGGCAGCTTGCGCACGCGTTTATTTATGAGGGTGGGTATAGGCGTGTGGCGTTCGAATCAAGATTTTTTTTGGAGTTTGATGACGATATTACAGCTCTCGAAGGTAAGTACCTTTCCCAAAAGTCAATATTTTGATCGACCATGTTTGATGTACACACCATTGTACACACTTTATACACACCATGTTTGTGAAGCTTTTTTTTTTGTCTGTGAATCCGGTTCACAGACAATATTTTGTTTGTGCAAAACATTGTCTATGAATCGACGTTCACAGACAAAAAGAAAAGTTTTCACGGACATAGGTGTGTACAAAAATGTGTATAAGAGTGTGTACAAAAATCATTTTTGTATTTTGATAGCTTAGTTTGGAGCTTGTATGGTCAAAATCCAGCGCAAGTAATGTGTGCTTCACATGAAATGCTGATAGGAATGCAAGGAGGAGCATAATAAGAGCGGGTGACTCTTGTTTTTCCGCTCGGGCTTGTCAATCAATTTTTTAATCAAATACGTAACTTTTGATTTCACGCGCTGAATTGTGTATTAGTTAGAAAAAGTAAAATTGAAGTTACTTTTATGGCTGAAGTTACTGTAGATGATAATTTTAACTATTTTTCATATAACTTTTTCTTTATTTTATTAATAAAATATATTTTAAATATAAGTTTTTCTTAAATCAGCTACTTCAGGTAGAACTTCATAAATTTTAAGCAGAATCATCGGATTTTTCTGATTTCACGGTTATCAAACGAATTCTAATTGTTACGAAGGATTCAAAAGTCCGACAATCTAGCAAAGTCAATAGGTAGTATTTTGATGGAGGTATAGTCAAAAGCAAATAATGTGTGTCGTACGAGGGGGATATAATAGGCGTAGGGGGGACATCGGGCGGGTTTGGGTCGGTCGGGTTGGGAAACCCAAGACCCTATCGGGTTTCAGACCTATTATATGGATATCTGACCCTAGGTAAATTCTTAAAAAATATTTCGGATTTTATCCAGTTCGGATACTTTCGGGTTCGGTTCGGATATCGGGTTGTTTCAGATATTTTAAAACCGGTAAATTTAAGTTGAAAACCAATTAAGTGTGACAAAGTGATTTTTTTTGAAGTGAAGTATACAAAAAAAAGACTGTACTTGACATTTAAATAACTTAATAAGTAATGTAACAATGTTAGCAAGTACAGAATTAAAGTCCAAAAACGATGTAGCATACTAACATCTAAGTAACGAAGTTAGCTAGTACTACGTAATAGTATGATAACATGTACTTGACAATAATACAGATTACATTGTGCAAAAAGAAGTACTACCTCCGTCCCATAAAATTCTTCCCACTTTGACTTGACACGGAGATTAAGAAAGTGAAATAAAGTGGAAATGTATGATTGTTGTTGTGTAAGAAAAATGTGAAATGAATGTGAACCACACAAATTGTCCAAAAATAGTAAGTGGGAAGAATGTTTTGGGACAACCCAAAAAGGAAAGTGATATTTAAGCAAAACAATATTACAATCTGATATTTAAGTGTTAAACATCCCAAAATGGCAGAATTATACATCTTAGCTTGAAGTTCCACAAGTCCACAACTCCACAAGACCACAGCTCCACAGTTTCACACATTTACACTTCCACCTGAATACAACAAATACAAGTATCCAATTCTACATATGAACACACTTACACTAGTAGTTCATATAATAAAATATATACATGGACAACAAAATGTGACAAACCAGACAATCATATATAAAGAAGTCATGGGCTCAGAATGCTTATTTTCATTCACACATGATTTAGGGGCATCTGCTACAATTTCAGTTTCAACATTGCAGTTATGAACTGAAAGAGCAACACCAATCCTAAACCATAATTTCAGTAGTGAATGGAAGACTCATCATAGCCACTATGATATCATAATACAAGTATCAAATTCTACAAATGAACACAAGTAGTTCATATAATTTATTTACATAGACCACAAAATGAGACTAACCAGACATCCAAATATAAAGAAGATGGCTTTGAATGCTTATTTCCATTCACACATGATTTAGGGACATCTGCTACAATTTCAGTTACAACATACTCCCTCCGTCCCTAATAACTTTGCCAAGTTTGACCGGCACGAGGAATAATAAAGTAAAAACTGTGTGGTTAAGGTTTGTGCAGAGGGGAGAGAATGAGTTGGAACCACAAATTCTTTATTTAAAAGGGAAAGTGGCAAAGTTAGTGGGACATCCAAAAAAGGAAAGTTGGCAAAGTTTTAAGGGACGGAGGGAGTATAAGTTATGAACTGAAAGAGCAATACCAATCTTAAACCATATATTTAGTAGTGAAAGAGCAATAACAATACCAACTATTATCAGAATTCAGAAACTATTATCTATGAAATGAGCACTTATACACATGTAATTTATCCTCTGTACAAAGGTCCATGTATCAGTGATTATACTCACTCTTTGACAGTGTCTAGGTATATTTGATAGATGTCTCTAGCAATTGTCCACCTATAAGGAATTTGAAATCTAGGACATGCTACAACAACAAACTTCCTAAAACCTTGTCTATCTACAAATCTAATGGAAGCTCATCAATCATTAGCATTTCCCCTAGAGCTCTGACGAGCACTTTGTCACGGTGCGTCAAAATAAATTCAATACTAAACACTTATACGTAGTATATCGTAGTAGAGTTCGTATCCACAGGGAAAGGAATGGTTCTCTTTTTTATGAAACTAGTAATTAAAAAGGGGGGTTTTGGTTTTGAATGATTTAATTTAATTAAGAAACTAAGATGAACAACCTATATGTGTTTACATCAAGAATAAAAGGGACTTGGCATTGCTACTTTCCACTTGTTGATATATTTTAGTCGATCATTGTTATATCTATAACTTATTCCCTCTCGAATACTCAATCGGGGAGTATATCCGCTTCATCGAGGGTAGTTATTAACAACGACCGTTCATTAATAACCCTTACTATTAATCAAACATAGAACAACGCCTTATACCGATTTAATAGTAGCATTTAATCTTTCTAACTCCTTGATGAAATCAATTGAGATTGATAACCTCAACACAACGGTTTCGGTTTAACCAACAAAATCAATCCCTCTTAAGTTTATTAACCACGATCGTACATTAATAAACCGAAGTTACTTACTTGTGAAACCATCAACGATTAATCATCGGTTCGTTGATCGTTTCTAGTAATAATTTGTCACGCCCCGGACCTAGCCGGACACGTCAACAACCCGCCGTACAGTACGAATAGTCAACCGTAGTCCAACCCATCCATACTATACAAGGCGTCATGAATATCATTCACACATAGTACATCCATAAACAAACATAATGTAAAACATTCATTTAAAACAGCGGAAGCATTAATACAATTGTTCAAGCCACACTTGGCATAACTAGGCATACAAGCCCCCAAAGTAATTGTCCAAAAATAATGTCCATGAGCATTGTTATCATTATTTTGAAAACAGGAAACAGAAGGAGCACGAACCACGTCTTCTCCTTTGAATATCCCCGAAGCAACGGGCGCCGGTAGCAACCTTCAAGTTCTACCTGAAACTATGAGGTGGCCTCCCCCGTGAAGGGGAGGTCAGTACTTGGAAATATTTGACAAGTACAATAGCAACTATACTAAGTATAATCAACGTTTTAATTTCCAAGACCCTCAAAATAGGGTGATATCATAATATAAATAATAATTTATATTCCCCACTTATCATCTTCATAATAAGTAAATTTATCTATTTGTCGGCACACGGCCCTTCTTATATATCCTTTTTCATTTATCGTTTGCACAACCCAACCCTTGGGTCCTATTATTTCTACGGGACTTGCTACCGCTGTCCGAGACCTCATGAGGCTCCCGGTTCGGACTCCAACATTCCGCCCCTGGACTCGTACCCATCATCCCGTAGGAAGGTAAGGCCCTTCGGGGTCCTATCTTATGTGTTACCGCTACCGGAACCTAGTTAGGTCTCCGATTCGGATTCCACCCTAACCCGTGATCACGATGTAAGTCCATGCTATCCAACCCCGCTCTCTAGAGTCGGGAAGGGCCATGGTCCTTACTATTTCCATAACTCAACCGGCTATCCACAAGAATCACCGATCACACCCGTAGGCCAATCCTATACTTAGGATCAATTTAATATTCACACTATCTTGGGTATCCCTTAAGGCCTACCCCTAGTATAACTTAAAGTTCATACTTTCCTACCTTAAAGCATCTCTTAAGACTACTTAAGGCATTATATTTCACAATCCAACCTTAGGATCAATCTTAACAACATTTCATTTTTATGTCCAACTAGCACCTTAATACTAGTCAAATTAATATCAACGAACCAAGTTCTCAACTCATAGTCATATAGACAATTCCAACTGATTTTCCTTTGAAAATATCATTTATGTCAATATCCAAAATATCACTTTTAATCACTCATATATTCTAATATGAAGATAAAAGTATATTTCAACACATGTTTCATAACAAACTCCACTTTCAAGTCAACATACTCATAACACATGAACATACACAATTTATTCCTAAATTTGTATATCATGCTTCTTTTTCTCTAGACATTTAATCTTTTCATTTTTAGGCATTATTAATCGTTAATAATCCATAACACATTTAATTACCTTCGGTAATCTCATGAAATTAACTCACTAATTATAAGCAATATAGTCAGGCATCCTCACCTTATGAAGTGCTGAAATAGTTGCCTTTGCTAAGCCC